CAACAGGAAGATATAACCTTGATAAACATATATGCACCCAATATAGGAGCACCAAAATATATTAAAAATCTTCTGGAGGACTTCCAAGGAGAAATCGACAACAATACAATCATAGCTGGGGACTTCAACACCCCGTTGACAGCACTGGATAGATCCTCTAGGCAAAAAATTAGCAAGGAAACAGAGACTCTAAATGAAGCACTAGACCAAATGGATTTAATAGATATCTACAGAGAATTACACCCCAAAACTACAGAATACACATTCTTCTCAAGTGCACATGGGACATTCTCAAAGATAGACCACATGATAGGACACAAACTAAATCTCTACAAGTTCAAGAAGATTGAAATCATATCAAGCATCTTCTCAGATCACAATGGCACGAAACTAGAAATCAATTGCAACAAGAACATGCAAAGACATTTCAACACATGGAGGCTAAATAGCATGTTATTAAACAATGAATGGGTCACCGAGGAGATCAAGGAAGAAATCAAAAACTTCCTGGAAACCAATGAAAATGAACACACAACAACACAAAATCTATGGGATGCAGCGAAAGCAGTTCTGAGAGGGAAGTTCATAGCACTACAGGCCTACCTCAAAAAACAAGAAAAATTTCTAATTGACTGTCTAACCTCACAACTTAAAGAATTAGAAAGCAAACAAAAAGAAAACCCCAGAGCAAGTAGAAGGAAGGAAATAGTAAAGATCAGAGCAGAAATAAATGACATAGAGACCAAAAAAACAATTCAAAGGATCAATGAAACAAAGAGCTGGTTTTTCGAAAAGATAAACAAGATTGATGGACCCTTAGCTAGACTCACCAAGAAACAAAGAGAGAGAACCCAAATACACAAAATCAGAAATGAAAGAGGAGAAGTAACAACCAACACCACGGAAATACAAAAGATCGTTAACAACTACTATGAACAACTATATGGCAACAAATTCGACAATCTCAGCGAAATGGACAAATTTCTAGAAACACACAGTCTCCCAAAACTATTCCCGGAAGAGATAGAAAACTTGAACAGACCAATAACAACTAAGGAAATTGAAGAGGTAATCAAGACTCTCCCAGCAAACAAAAGCCCAGGCCCAGATGGTTTCACGGGGGAGTTTTACCGAACATTCAAAAAAGAACTAATACCCATTCTCCTCAAACTATTTCAAAAAATTCAAGAAGAAGGAAGACTTCCAAACACGTTCTATGAGGCCAGCATAATTCTAATTCCAAAACCAGAAAAAGACACTACGAAGAAAGAAAACTACAGGCCAATATCCCTGATGAACATAGATGCCAAAATCCTGAACAAAATACTAGCAAATCGGATCCAGAAATACATCAAAAAAATTATTCACCATGACCAAGTGGGATTCATTCCAGGGATGCAAGGCTGGTACAATATTCGCAAATCAATAAACGTGATACACCACATAAACAAAATGAAGAATAAAAACCACATGATCATATCAATAGATGCTGAAAAAGCATTCGACAAAATCCAGCATCCATTTCTGATAAAAACGCTCAGCAATGTAGGAATAGGGGGATCATATCTCGACATAATAAAGGCCATATATGAAAGACCTACAGCCAACATCATACTCAATGGACAGAAACTAAAAACATTTCCATTAAGAACAGGAACAAGACAGGGATGTCCACTTTCGCCACTCTTGTTTAACATTGTACTGGAAGTCTTAGCCACAGCAATCAGACATGAAGAAAAAATAAAAGGGATCCAAATTGGAAAGGAGGAAGTGAAACTGTCATTATTTGCAGATGACATGATATTGTACATAGAAAACCCTAAAGACTCCATCAAAAATCTATTAGACTTAATAAATGAATTTGGCAAAGTAGCAGGATACAAAATTAACGTCAAGAAATCGACGGCATTCTTGTACATCAATGATGAACTCACAGAAAGAGAAACTGAAAAAACAATCCCATTTACCATCGCTCCAAAAAAATTACGATACCTAGGAATAAACTTAACCAAAGAAGTAAAGGACCTATTTGCAGAAAACTACAGGTCATTGAAAAAAGAAATAGAGGAAGATATAAAAAAGTGGAAGAACATACCCTGTTCATGGATTGGAAGAATTAACATAATTAAAATGTCCATACTACCCAAAGCAATCTATAGATTCAATGCAATCCCCATCAAAATACCAACGACATATTTCATAGAACTAGAACAAATACTTCAAAAGTTCATATGGAACCAAAAAAGACCCCGAATAGCCACAGCAATCTTGAAAAAGAAGAACAAAGTTGGAGGGATCACATTACCAGATATCAGGTTATACTACAAAGCGACTGTAACCAAAACAGCCTGGTACTGGCACAAGAACAGGCATATAGACCAGTGGAACAGAACTGAAAACCCAGAAATGGACCCAAGGCAATACGCTCAATTAATATTTGACAAAGGTGGCAAGAGCATACAGTGGAGTAAAGACAGCCTCTTTAATAAATGGTGTTGGGAAAATTGGACAGCTACATGCAAAAAAATGAAACTCGACCATCAACTTACACCATACACAAAAATAAACTCAAAATGGATAAAAGACTTAAATGTGACCCGTGAATCCATAAAAATTCTAGAAGAAAATGTAGGCAACAAAATTTCGGACATCATACGGAGCAGAATTTTCACTGATACATCACCTAAGGCAACAGAAATAAAGGAGAAAATGAAGACATGGGACTACATCAAACTAAAAAGCTTCTGCACAGCAAAAGAAACGATCATCAAAATGGAAAGGCAACCCACTGTATGGGAGAACATCATTGCCAATGATGTATCAGATAAGGGGTTAATTTCCAATATATACAGAGAGCTCATACAACTCCACAAAAGGAAGACAAAGAACCCAATTAAAAAATGGGCAGAGGAGCTGAATAGACACCTCTCCAAACAGGACATACAAATGGCCAAGAGACATATGAAGAAATGCTCAACATCACTAATCATCCGAGAGATGCAAATTAAAACAACAATGAGGTATCACCTCACACCTGTCAGAATGGCCGCCATCAACAAATCATCAAACAACAAGTGTTGGCGAGGGTGTGGAGAAAAGGGGACTCTAATACACTGCTGGTGGGAATGCAGACTGGTGCAGCCGCTATGGAAAACAATATGGTGCTACCTCAAAAAATTAAAAATTGAACTTCCATTTGACCCAGTGATCCCACTGCTGGGAATATACCCTAAGAAGCCTGAAACACCAATCAGGAAGAATATATGTACCCCCATGTTCATAGCAGCACTATTTACAATAGCTAAGATCTGGAAACAGCCCAAGTGTCCACCAGTAGACGAATGGATCAAAAAGCTGTGGTACATATACACAATGGAGTACTATGCAGCGGTAAGAAAGAAAGATCTCTTATCCTTTGAGACGACATGGAGGGACCTGGAAAGTATTATCCTAAGTGAAAGAAGCCAAGCAGAAAAAGACAAATACCACATGATCTCACTTATATACGGAATATAATGAACATAACAGTCTGAGGAATACAGTAAACCGAGACACATGGAAGTAGGGCACAGACTGACATCCCTCAGAAGAGGGGATGGGGGGTGGGAGGGTGGGAAGAGATAAACCACCGAACTTATATGCATGTATGCATGACCAATGGACATGGACAACTAAGCCGGGGACAGGGTGGAGGGGTGGGGGTGGGGGGTGCCAATGGGGTAAAAAGGTAAAATATCTGTAACAAAAAAATAAATAAAAATTCATAAAAAAATAAAAATAAATAAATAAAAATAAAATAAAATAAATTTGCATAAAATTGGATCTTAAAAAAAAATAAAATAAAATAGATGTTTTTCTAGTTGGACTGTGTTAAAATTTTAATTTAAACATTAGGACCGCTTTTATTTGATTCTTCATTTAGGCTAACCTTAATTATTCACTAGGGAATACATGAACAGAAAATTGGCTCATTTCACTTTATTTTAAATAGTATTTTTCTGTTAAAGGTTTAGAAATGAAATGAGAACTGAGCAAGCTTTATTGTTTACAAGTTTTACTTTTTCACATGTCAAGTGAAGACCAAAAGCAGAAGACGTAGCTTTGGAAATTCATTTTGTGATCACTTAAATGTTATATCAAAATTTAAATTTATTTCCAAGTAGGCTTTCATAGAGAGACCCAGTCAGTTCTGAATGAAGAATAAGTGGGAAATATTTTTGTCACCTGTTCTGTTGACAGTGACTTTTAAAAAGGTTTTAAAGTGTTCTTGCCAATTCTCATGAGAATATTTTAAAACACAATATTCTGATCATCTTGGTGAATACCGAGTCATCTGAAAACATTAAGTGGATATACTTTTGCATTTCTCTTTGGGATATTAATTTATAATCTCTTATACATAAACAATTTCAGTAGAGAAAGTACATTTGTTTTTGTGTGTGTGTTGGGGCAATAAAAAGTAGGGGGCATTTACTTGGCCTTGGCAACCTCCTGAAGGCCAAGCAGACAGTGAAATTGTGCTTTAACTATTACTGTACAGGCCGGTTAACAATGTGTTCATGAGTGCAAGCGGATCTGCCCAAACATAGTTTGAAAGTAATCCCCAAATCGTCCTAGAATAACGACAGTGGTACAGAAATGGTTTGCTTCTGGGATACAAATACCAAAATTGCAAATGAAATTGCCAACTGTATAATAGAAAGAATGGAAAAATAATGGTCCTAATTCATTGATAGATAAAGTTTTTCCAGCTAAAGTGATTTGTGATTTCTCTTTATTTATTTCTTTTTTAGAGGGGTGGAGGTTGTGGGACTGGAGAGGGGAACCAAGTTAACAGGAAGCAAATGAGAATTTCAGGTCTTACTTACCTGTCCTATAAAACAATCTATTCAGTCATGAAAACGTCAATGTCTATTTAGCTCATTTTAGTGGGAATAAGGTAGTCATTTTTAAAACTCCGAATGCATACTAACAAATCTTTATTTTGTTTTGCTTTTTAGGTGCAGATCCAAATTATCCCGACGTAATTTATGAAGGTAGCTATCATGTTGTCTTTATTTTGTATTTTTCCAAAATGTTTGTTTACCATGAAATAAATCAGCTGAAAGAAGACCTTTAAGCTCAGTTAAAATACACATTTCAAGCATTACATAGGCCAAAATAATATTTCAAAAAAATTATTCAATATATATATATATATTTTTTTTTATCCTCACCCGAGGACATTTTTTCACTTTTTGTTCAGATAGAGTGGGAGGGAGAGAGAGGAAGAGAGGGGAGAAGAGAGAGAGAGAGAGAGAGAGAGAGAGAGAGAGAGAGAGAGAGAGAGAGAAACATCTATGTGAAAGGGACACATCGAGTGGCTGCCACCCACACGACCAACCAGGGCTGGGGACAAACTGCAACCGAGTTATGCGCCCCTAGCGGGAACCAAACCCAGGTCTCTCCGGACTACAGGATGACGCTCTAACTGCTGAGCCAAACCGGCCAGGGTGTCGATATATATTTTTATCCTCACCTGAGGACATGCTTAGAGAGAAGGGATAGAGAGAAACGTTGATCAGTGCCTTCTGTGAGCACCCAGCCAGGGACTGAACCTGCAATCCAGGCATGTGTCCTGACTGGGAATCGAACCACAACCCTTTGGTGAATGACGCTAAATGGACGGAGCCACTCTGGCCGGGCAAAATCATTCAATATTGATGGCCATTTTCCCTTGATATTTACAGTGCCTGTAAATAGCATTTTCTCTCTCATGATCTGTTCTAGGAAATAGTAAATCCATTCTGCTGTAACAATTTGTTTCCATAATTGGGAACTAATTACCTGTTTAAAAGCCATGGCTACCAAGAAAGGGCGGTATATCAGTTTCTAGTTATGACAGTAAACCCAATTCAAAATCATGTTTCTTATATAATAAGGAAGTTTGGGTCACAGACAGGATCCTCAAAGGCAGGGCATGCGTTAGGGTGGATTCAACTAGCAGCTCAACCATGTCATCAGGGACCCAAGTTGTTTCCATCTCTACCTTCCTCTGCCCATTATTCTCCTTCCACTGATGGCCACCCCGACCCATGGGCTATTAGATGAGGCCAACAGAGGGGCTATGGTGGTTCACACGGATGGGAGAAAGGAGAGTGTTCCTGAAGGGGTTCCAAGAGAAAGATGATTTTCCCGGAAACCTCCATCTGGCCTTCCTTGTATCTGATTTCAGACCCCATTGGGTCATGATCTACTCTTGCCTCCATTACTGATAAGCAGTATGAATTACCCCCTGACTAACTCGAATGTAGATTCGTTCCCCTGGAGGATGTGGTAGAACCTTTGGTTGCAATGACGTTCTTCTAGGAATGTGGAAGGGGAGAAATCAAAAGGACCACTATGTTAACTTTTAACTGAACATTTCATCTGTACTTGGCTATTTTAATCAAATGCCAGGGATATTTTTCTAAGTGTGAAAATCCATCTAACAGATTTTCGAAATACCTTCAAGACCAGGAGGCCTCTGTTTGGGGAAGTGGCAGCTAAATTTTAAGACTTGGCTTGAAATTTAAGATTGATTCAAAGTTAGAATGATCAAGATATTATATTTATACATTTGTTTGATAAACTATTTTATTCTTTAATTTTATTTTTTATATACACACTGACATTTTGGTTTTTTTTTTTTTTTTTTCCTATAAATTATCCTGTGATCTAATTTTAGCTGAGGAATTACATTATCTTTACCTACTGTATGTTAAGCTATGATTCCCTCTTGCTGTAGTTTGGATGATTTTGTGCATGTGATTTGCATATTTTTGTTTTTATTTGTCTTGATATGGTTTAAAGGAAGACTATCTCAAATTGTATCACAGAGAAATATGTTTGAACTGTGATTTAACATTTTAAAATTATGTTTTGGACTCCTTCCCAATAATTTCAAGACTTAATGTCATCTTTCCATTGGCTTCAGACACCGCTCTGGGTCTTTGGGTCAAAATGTCACGATATTAAACTATAGATACTTTAATAATTTAATTTTGCATGAGTGGCTGCGTGTGATATGAAGAGGTAAAAATAAGCAAGTGGATGATATCTCTTAATGTTTGAAATTAAGTGTTAATATATTAAAATGGAAACGGTGAGAATGCAGTTTTGGAGTCAATAACAAAACAGCAAACAGAAAATAAATGTTTTTTCTGTTGCTTTCATTCAAATTCAAAGGAACACTCTGCTAATAAAAGTACAATTTAAATTGGTTACCCCCCAGGCTTGTGTAAGAATTATACTAAGAGACGTGTGGCTGGGCTGACTTAATGGGGTTGTTTGTTCAGAATGCAAATCGAAGGCACCATATTTATCTAGAATAAAAATACAAAACATTTATACAGAACATTGTCAGCGCTACGTTTACCAAATTTTCTATGACTTTAATATGTAATACCACTAATAAAAACTTTGTTCACACACACACACAATCAGCCATTGATCTACTAAAACTGATTCAGAAGATGTCAGCTCCATTTGAGACGCGGCGCTGTGAGCACACATCCTTACGATTCTGGAGGTTGTGTTGGCTCAGCTCCCTGTCTATTAATTCTGAACCTGAAATATTAATGATTCATAACCCTTCAAAAACAGTTGTGTGTGTACCCAAGCTTCCTGTCAGTTTGAGTCCACATTCTGTCTCTAGGGCAGCCTCTTACCAGGATCAGTGCTGTTGATTTCCAGCCTGGTTCAGGCCTAGACTCTGCCACCTTCTTGCCAGTTGACCTTAGACTCGTCAGTTAACATTCTTTATTAGCAAAACTGATGATTGGACTCACTCTCTAAAGACCCTACTAGGTCTATTAATCTGTCACTCTTAGATGCTTAATTCTCTTATATTAAATGCTTCATCAGAAAAGGGATATATTCTTATGTGCAAAGAAAAACTCCAAACCAGGTTTCGAATGTGATCACCAAGATGAGGATGTAGGGATCTGGAGTGAGTCCATTGTTGGCATTGTGCAGGCCCAACGCCACAATGGATTTAACCCAACAATGGGTCCTGCCCCTCCCTAGCCAGGCTGCCCCTGGCTGGGAATCTTGTGATTTGTCTGGCTTTGTTCTGGGTTGTAATGTGCCCTGTAGTTGTTGGCAGCCTAATGACAACTTCATGGTTTCTTCTCTTTCCCTTTTTCTCCACTTTAAGATTATGGGACTGCGGCGAATGACATCGGGGATACCACGAACAGAAGTAACGAAATTCCTTCCACAGGTGTTGCAGACAAAACCGATCGGGAGCATCTCTCGGTGAGTGGGAGAAATAGGCATTTCCCAGGTTGGTTCTGAGCATTTTGGATGCTTACATGTTGGAGGCAGCTAGCATATTGTCTTCATTTTGTATCTTCTCAAAATATTTGTCTGGAATGAAATACATCAACTAAAAGAGACCTTTGGAGCTGCTCCAGTGCAAATCTTTCAACAAGACATTTTTATTGCTCAGACGTAAACAGGGCATTGAGGTTCGGGGGAATGAATAGAAAGGTTTAAGAGAAGCGATAAAGGTAGGAGCTGACTTATTGCTGGTGGTTTCTGTTTTAAACATCTGTCCTGTAAAAGGTTTTTACCAGAAGAGCAAGAAAGCAGCTTTCTCATGCAGGTACATGTGTAATTATTACTGTTTTCCACACCTTCACACTGGTCTTCTTCAATAGTTTGATAAAAGTTTCAGTGCCCACAACATGTAAGGATATAATGTGGGAGGATATAAAAATATGAATGAAACTCAGGTTTTTTTGTTTTTTAGCTTTGAGTTCAGTTAATGGCCTGAGATGTGAATACTAGCACCTAATACAAGTAGAGGTGGGGTGAGGTGGTTTGAGGAATAGAAATAGAGGGGCAGGTGCTCTGTTCCTTTCTGCTGGGAGAGCCAGAGGAGTCTGCGGGACAGGTGGCATTTCCCACGGCCCGTGCAGGATGCCTGGGATTTGGACAGAAAGGAACAGAAGGGAAGGGATCTGGGGTGTGTGAACATGAGTCTGCGGACTGGAAAGCAGTCTCGATTGGAAGGTAAAGCCTGTGTAGGGCGGCAGTTGGAGGCAAGGTTGGAGAAGTTGGTTGTGCCAGGTGATGAGGTTGTGAAACACAGTGCCAGGTGGTTAGATTTATTGCACTGTGAGGACACATTGAAAGGGTCTGTGAGAGCCCCAAGGTCACAGGGCTCCAGGGTTCTGTGCCAGGGCGGTCTGTCAGCGGCTCAGGTAAAAGCCCAGCAAGCCTTTCCCTTCCCTTCACTGGTCGTGTGCACCCAGCTGCATGTCTATGAGCTCTGCCTCCTTGTAAACTCCAGAGCATCCATCTGCCCCACGTCCACTGCCACAGCTGCAGGCTAGCGGGGTGGCAAGCGCAGGCCAAGTTCTGGCTCACAACCTGCTTCTGTGAGGTGTGCAGGCTAGGAACAGATTTTACATTTTTAAGCGGTTTGAAAAAACATCAAAAGAAGAATGATTTGTGACACATGAAAATTGTATGAAATTCAAATCTCTCCTCATAAATAAAGTTAGCTCAGAATGTAGTCATGGCCATTTGCATATTGTCTGTGGCTACCGTTGTGCTCCGTGGCAGGTGTCATTGCAGCAACGATTTGCACGGCCCGCAAAGCTGGAAATTTACTCTCTGGCCCTTTATAGAGAGAGTTTGCCCACCGCTCATTCCTGGGCGACTGCCGCGCCCTCTCCTTCTCCCTCTCCCACTCTGTCACCTTCCTGTCTCCACACAGCAGCCTGAGTGACCTTTCAAAGCACAGATCATGCCCTGGCCGGTTTGGCTCAGCGGTTAGAGCATCGGCCTGCGGTCTGGAGAGACCCAGGTTCGGTTCCCGCTAAGGGCACGTACCTCAGTTGTGGTTTGTCCCCCGGCCCTGGCTGGGTCGTGCGGGTGGCAACCACTTGATGTGTCCCTTTCACTTCGATGTTTCTCTCTCTCTCTCTCCCTCCCACTCTATCTGAGCAAAAAAAAAGGAAAAATGTCCTTGGTTGTGGATTTTTAAAAAAGCACAGATCAGATCACTCTTTTATTATCATTCTAAGACTCTTCCCAATACACTTCGATAACAGTTTTATTATAAAAACCCAACTCCTCACAGGCGCTAACTGGGCCCTGCGTATCTTGCCGGTCTCTGTCTCTCTGACTTCATCTCCCACATCTCCTCACTGCTTACTACCTGTCTTTTTAAAATACGTGCTTGCATGCTCCAGGCTTCCTCTTTCTCACAGCCTTAACTTCGCTGTCCCTCTATAAAGCATGCATTTCCCGAAGCTCACCACATGGCTGTATCGCTGGTGGCCGGCAAGCAGCCATTACCTGGTTCTGTTTTCTTCTAAGCAGTTATTCCTGTCTGTGGTTACCCTGCTTGTTTATTTGTTTACTTGTTTCATGTCATTTTCTATTCCCTAGATTCTTTAGTAAGATTCTTAGCAGGCAACCTGGTCAGAGTTTTCCACAGCTATAGTGCTAGCCACAGAATAATGCCTGTCACCTAGGAGGTACTCAGTACAAGTCAGGCTGACTAGACTCACGGAGAATACTGTAGACGGGTCGTCAGACAGAGAGAGTGGAAGTGGGTGATGAGCTGGGGGTCTGATGTGTATTTAAACCAGGGCCGTGGCAGTGAGGATGGGAGGCTCAGCACATGCTCATCCAGTGTGGAGACACACTTGTCCACGGATGGCTATGTGCCTCACATTGAAATAGCAGGACACCCAGCGTGCTAAGTCAGCAGCAGAATGCTTTCAACTCCTGCCTTGTGCAAGCATTTCAGTTTTTATCCTCACACCCAACCACTTAATGTTTTTGATTTGAGAATGTTGTGTCCATAAGGATTTTGAGAGCATGTGCTGAGCCCACAGGTACATAGGTATCCTGGTTACTAAAAATTCTCCACTTCAGTGTTCTCTTTTGATTCCAAATGATAAACGTAAGCTCCGCACTGGCATATCCCAATGATGTTTGAACTGTCTGCATAGGGTCACTGGAAGGCAAGATTTGTTAAAATAGTCCGTGTTAAAAGTCTGTATGTTATGTCCTGGCTGGTTTGGCTCAGCAGTTAGTGCGTTGGCCTGTGGTCCCAAGAGACCCCTGTTCGGTTCCCACTAAGGGCGCGTACCTCGGTTGCAGTTTGTCCCCGGCCCTGGTTGGTCGTGCGGGTGGCAGCCACTCGATATGTCCCTTTCACGTCAATGTTTCTCTCTCTCTCTCTCTCTGTTCCTCTCTCTCCCTCCCCCTCTATCTGAACAAAAAGTGGAAAAATGTCCTCGGGTGAGGATAAAAAAAAAAAAAAAGTCTGTATGTTATGACTCCACCTGAGGCCCCTAGAAATCAGTATGAGGGGTCCAAGGAATGTTTTTAGAATTAAAAAAAAAATTTTTTTAATTATGTGTGGATCAGGTATTTGATATATAAACAGTCCCCGGTCACAGACGGATCATTAGATTGGAAGAAGAGCTTCAGAGCCACAGAGTGGATGCAAAAGTCAAAGCAGCCGTCAGAGCATGTGGAAGACAGCCTGGGACTCTCACCCTCCGAGTCCGCAGTGCGCCCACCAGCCTTGATGGATTTCTGGAGCCGCAACTCCTTGTTCTCTGCTGAGAGACATCCTCAGCCCTGGCCAGTTTGGCTCAGCGGTTAGAGCGTCGGCCTGCGGTCTGGAGAGACCCGGGTTCGGTTCCCGCTAAGGGCATGTACTTCGGTTGCAGTTTGTCCCCGGCCCTGGTTGGTCGTGCAGGTGGCAGTCACTCGATGTGTCCCTTCACATCGATGTTTCTCTCTCTCTCTCCCTCCCAATCTATCTGTACAAAAAAATGGAAAAATATCCTCGGGTGAGGATTAAAAAAAAAAAAAAAAGGAGAGACATCCTCAGATAAAAATAACTAACCAACCAACCAAACAAACAAACAAACAGCTATCCAAACAAATCAAGTCACCCCTACTTGTCCCATATAAAGACCAGCCCCACCCCAACACATTCACAGTACACGAAACTCTTTTTTTCTGGAACTGTTTTTGAAGAAATACGACTTCTCATTGTCACAAGAGTCTTTGTTTATTAAAGGATTATTTACCTTTGGAACTGCTTCAATAGGTTTAAATATTTGTTGGCGGATCATTAGCTGCTTTTCAACAGCAGTAGCCCTTCTCTGCAGGTTGAATTACGCATTCTTGAGAGCCGTAGAGAAGCAGGGCAGGTGTCCTTTCCCCGAGCACCCCGGGGAGATGGAGGCTTGGACAAGCGGAGGCTCTGTTCTGGCTGTCACAGCTGGCAAGGCAAGGTGTCTGCAAACGTGAGCACTCAGATCTCCCGAATGCCGCTCAAGTACTTTCCAAAGTGATAGAGGCTATGGGGGGACTAGAGAGAGGTCCTGGGACTCGGGCAAGTCCTCTTCTAACCTTTCTCCATCCCGGTTCCTTATCTGCAATATCGAGTTTGAATTGGTTTCTTTAGGTATTCTCTTCTACCTGCAGAAGTCTGGAATTTAATAACAGGCTAGAGAAACTCAGAGCTAACATACTATGATTACTTTCCTATGAAAATGTTAGAAGTAAAGATTTTTTTTAAAACCACCGAAATTATTAGGCAAATTTGAGGGAAATGATCTTGGTTAGAACAAGTTGACCCATAACTAGCTTCTTAGGAATTGTCACCGTTTTGTTTGTATATAGACTGTGGAGAGAGTTTAGTGTATACTCAGACATCTGCAAAAGCTTTCTGAGAGAACCACTCACAGCTCAAGTACCACAGAAGAGAATTATCATACCTTTGCTCCACCTTGGCCAAGTGCTTGGTGCTTTTCTTCTGTCATCTGTGACTTATTCAGTGCTGTCCCCATCTGACATCAGAAAAGGTGTTGGGGGAAGATTAGCCACGTGTTTTTATTATTCTGCTTTTACTCTTGGCCATATGCTTAGGAGAGGCAGTATAATGGATAAATTACAGGATTTATACTTGGGAAGATTTTGGTTCAAATCTCATGCATCAAAGGTATGATCTTGGTCTGCTTATTAAATTTTTCTGAATCTATTTTATCATTATTATGATCACTATGATAGTTGCCATAGGAGGCTAGGTGGGGTAAAAAAGGGTGAAGGGATATATATAAAACACGTAGACACAGATAATAGTATGGTGATAACCAGAGGGGAGAAAGGCAGGTAGGGGAGGTGTAAGAGGGAAAAGGGGGACAGAAAGAGGCTTTACTTTGGGTGATGGGTGGACGATGGTGTACAGATGACGCTTTGTTGAGTCGTACACTTGACACCTGTATGGTTTAGTTGACCAATGTCACTCCAATAAACTCAACAAAAAATAATGACCAACATTACCTTAAACTTTTTTTTCTTTATTGATTTTTTAGAGAGAGTGGAAGGGAGAGGGAGAGAGAGAGAGAAACATCGATGAAAGAGAACATTGATTGGCAGCCTCCTGCATGACCCCCACTGGGGGTTGGGCCCACAACTTGGGCATGTGTCCTGACCAGAAATTGAACCAGTGACCTCTTGGTGCATGGGTCAATGCTCAACCACTGAGCCACAGCAGCTGGACGGCTGACATTATTTTATTATCTGTTTTAGACAGATACTGTTCCAAGCCCATTATCTGAATTAACTCATTGAAGATTTACAACCCACAAGGTAGAATTATTATATTCCCTTTTTTACACTTAAAGATCATGAGATTCTGAGAGGTTAAGTAATTTCTACATCGTGCAGGTAAGACATGATAAATATAAATTTCAAACTCAGGAAGATCCCATATTCTTAATCTTTATACTTCCTGTCACTGTGAGATGGGTGTATCAGTCAGGATAAGCTATGCTGCAGTAACAAAAATCCTCAAATCTTAGTGGCTTAAAACAACAAAGCTTTATTTCTTGCTTCATTACATGTATTGGCAGGGAGTTCTGCCAGCCTTGTCCTTATTGCCAGACTAGGCTGACAAGCAGCCACCTTTTGGAAAGTTAGCATTTATTATGGCAGAGGTGACGAGAGCACTGGAGCAGAGTTTCTCACCCTTGGCACTACTGACATTGTTATTGTCCATGACTAAATCTTTGTTGTGTTGGGGTTTGCCCTAGGCACTTTAGGATGTTTAGCAGCATCCCTGTCCTCAACTCACTAGATGCTTATAGTACCGTTTCCCTAGTTGTGATAACCCCAAATTGCCAGTGTCCTCTGGGTGCAGCATTATCCCTGTTTGAGAACCACTGCCTTCATCTAAGATCTTGCAGCAGCAATGAAATCAGCTGCCTTTACAGCAGATGTCTTCCAACTTTTGTTTTGGAGAATCAAACTTTTCTCGGAAGCAGGGCCTTGGGGAGCAGTGGGAATGGAAGGACATGCACGGCCCCGCGTCCACCTTTGCTTCTAAAATGTATTTCGTTAGCATTATGCATTCCTATCTCTATGATCTCCAGCTCAGGGTTGTGACCAGATTCACATATCTGCATTTACTCTCTCTACTTGTAGAATCCACATCTTGCAATTACATTTTAAAATAAATAAATAAAAACCTTTGTATTGACCTCTGTCATACATATAGAGAAGTGCACATATCATAAATCTACAACCCAATGAGCTTTCGCAGGTGACCTCACCCACAAGTGTCCTCTTGCTCCCTTTTAAGCCTACTGACTGCTCCGGGGGACCCTGACTTCTAAGAGCAACTAAGCCAACTTAAAAAATATTTTTGTTATGAACATTTTTCAAACATATACAATAGTAGTGAGAACAGTAAAAATGAATCCCATTGTATCTTTCACCAACTTCAAAAAGTATGAATATTTTTTTATTCAGTTTTCTCTCTTCTATTCTCCAGGTAGTAGGTAGGTAGGTAGGTAGATAGATGGGAAGAGACAGAGATAGTGATATATTTAATATTTTATTTTTTATTTTTACTTTTTCTTTATTGATATGAGAGAGAGAGAGTAAGGGGGGGGGAGAGAGAGAGAGAGAGAGAGAGAGAGAGAGAAACATCAAGGAGAGAGGAGATCGATTGGCCGCCTCTTGCATGGCCCACACTGGGGATTCAGCCCACAACCTGGGCATGTGCCCTGACTGGGAATTGAACTGGCGGCCTCTTGATTCATGGGTTGACACTCAACCACCGAGCCACACTGGCCGGGCAAGATAGAGAAATATTTAATATTTATATCTCAATGTAGATATATTACATATATCTGTACATAGATCTATTACATATATCTATATCATTACATAATATCCATTAGATACCCATCTTATAACCTTTACCTTAACTTTTCTCATTTATAATATAGGAATAATAATACATACTTCTTCGTAGGGTTGTTGAGTATTAAGTGAATTTATGTACATGCAGTTCTTAGAAGAGCAAGTAGTAAGCATTCCGTGAATATGAACTGTCATCATCTTCATCATGTGGATATCGGAGACTAATTAGCAAGGCATAACTGCCCTCCCCTCCTTCCTCTAGGTCTATGCTGTGGTGGTAATTGCATCTGTAGTGGGATTTTGTCTGCTGGTAATGCTGTTTCTGCTGAAGTTGGCAAGACACTCCAAGTTTGGCATGAAAGGTAAGAAGGGTTGTGTTTATTTTACTTCTTATGTGGAATCACTCTTGGCTTATGACTAATGCTAATTAAACTAAAGAAGGAAGCAGCTGGATTTACTATCACTAAATTTTAAGGCTGAAAAAAATAGCAACAAGGATATGATACTACAAACCAAGAGAAAGCAAAATAATGTTGATTACTCAGCACTACCTACTTCCCAATGAGGACCGTGGTTCCAGAAGACACAGAACTGGTTTCCTGCGTGTGGAGTGACTCATGATGATGCAGGCGAGTGGTGCCCAGGTTTCCCCTTTGCTTCAGAAAGGCAGGCGAGGCTCGGGGGCAGTCGGCTAGTGATGGACACGAGTATTTTGTGCAGAAACGTTCTTTCTTCTGTTCATTTTGACTTCCAGACCTTCCACGGTGTGCTTTTGGTGTTGCTACTGCTTTTTCAGATTCTCATCTTTTGAAATTTGAACAGCATTGGGAAGCAAAATAACAGCCATTGGGAGGCACCTTGATGCTTTGTGAATGAGTGACTTCTTTTTTTTTTAGCGGAATAATTCTCAGTGTGTGATTGAAAATTAGAGACTATGTTGCCCAAGAATAGATCACTCGTCTCTTTCAGAGGGCTGAAAATTAATTTTAGGGAAAAACTTATTTAAATATTCCTGTGATGCCCAAGAGTTTTAGTGGTTTAAGAGCATTTGCTATGAAGTTTAAACTTATGTATTGACTAGTATGTTATTGGATTCTGTGTGGTCTCTTATAAATAGCCACTCTCTTGGGAAAGCTGTAAAGAAGGTTTAGTGGTGTCTTAGTTGCATTGGAGAGAAGGTCTGGTGGTTTTCTTGATCTGTATGGCTTATTACAACTACTATTGATGTGGCTTATTCACTTAGAAGCGATTGTTAAGTAGCAGGAAGTTGCTCAGCATACACGGGGCTCTGGGGTGGATCACATGTTCCTGACATTTTCTCTCTCCTTTGTTGGTGTCCATTACCAAGATTCCTGAACCCAAAGTGAAGGGTAGGAGTAGTGGTAAACTGGGGCTTAACACCCCCAAACCTCCTCCTGCTCCCCCTTGGCTTGCTCCCCCTTGACATTTCCTTTGGAGAAGGAAAGACCTCTCATTCTCCAATTATAACTAAGTTTTGGGAGAGAAACTATACTACCGTGATTTTAATTAATCCTACGGTTGAGGTATGTAAACTGGACTTTGCATCAGAAACTTTGGAGGGCTTGGGTAAACAGATTTCTGGGCCAGTCCGAGAGCTTCTGATTTCATAGGTCTTCAGTGGGCCTTAAAACGGGCATTTCCAGAAGTTTCAAGGGACGCTGATGCTTCTGTTGCCGAGCAGTCTTGGAGAATCTCTGTTCCACAGGATTAACACGGGCTACCAGATTCCTTTCTGAGTGTGACAGGCAGTGGGAGAGGCATTGCAAATTGAACTCACCCATTGCTTTGCACGCCTTCCTGGGTCCCCACGTGCAGCTGGGACCCAGACTTAGGCCAGGCTTCTGCTCTCTGCATGTCGGCCACCTACCATGCATTTTGCTTTCCTCTTTCTGATCAGGGGCTTCCTTTCCTTAGAGGCACTTGGAGTGGATGTCCCCAAGCATAGATTTTTACCAGAGAGAGCCAGATTCTAGTTCTACTCCTATCCCACCTTGAGAGTTTAGTTTGAGACCTTTCTATCTCATGGGCTCCTCAGGGAGAAGATATGTCCAGGTCCTGGGAGCTCAGCGAAGGCTTTGAGAACCCCTCCCACCCCAACTTTGTGTTAGGAAAACGACAGACAGAATGGTCTGTGAAAATTAGTATATTCTCTATAGCTCAGTGATGAAGGAGAATTTGGTTCAGAGAAGGTTGAGCTCATACAGAGACTCTGGCACTAAGAGTGAAAAAGTATTTTATTTGGATAATTTGGGGTGATTACTGCTAAGGCACCTACATTTTCCACATGTAACCTAAGGGTATTTTTAATGAATTGTAAGAAAAAGTTTGCTTAACCTTGTCAGAGAGCCAACAAATGACTTCCTTCAGGCAGTATGTTTCACTCTCCTATTTCTAAACATAAATTAAATAGTTTTTTTTTTTTTTTTTTGTTTTTTTTTTATCCTCATTCGAGGACATTTTTCCATTTTTTGTACAGACAAAGTGGGAGGGAGAGAGAGGAAGAGAGAGAGGGAAACATCGATGTGAAAGGGACACATCGAGTGGCTGCCACCCGCACGACCAACCAGGGCCGGGGACAAACTGCAACCGAGGTACGTGCCTTTAGCGGGAACCGAACCCGGGTCTCTCCGGACCGCAGGCGGACGCTCTAACCGCTGAGCCAAACCGGCCAGGGCAGATAAATTAAATAGTTTTTAAAAATGTGTCTGAGAGACTCATGTTCTTGTTGAGAATAGCTTCTTTTTTACCTTTGGCTACACGTCTATCCGTGCCATGGTTTGAACAAACGGACCTGCGTTGAGGTTGTTGTTTCACTAGTCTCATGCCGAGTTGATCATTTTGGGGGACCTGGTAGATGAGGCTAAGGCACCGAGGGTAAGTGAATCTGCATAAAAAGTGGTGTTTAAAAATTCATGTAAGTTTATGTCCTTGAAATGCTTTTAGGGCTGTGATTACTGCTGAAAAAACATGTCTGAAAAAGGGAAGAATATGTAAAAACACTGTTACACTTCCTGAAACAAGTAGGAAACATGTCAGTCGTGATTTCTGAGTAACAAGGAATGAAATGTGTGTAGTTTTGCCCAGAACCAAAGGCTTGGTTCTGTGTGAGAGGCCACTGGTGCAGTGAGCTGGTGCAAGTTCTCACCCCTGTAAGCACCTGCGGGGAGATTCTGCTCCCATTCATATTCCCTGTGCCGGCGGCAGACTGAGACTGAAGAGGCCTGCCAGCCCACCCATCGGCATTTGCAGCTTTTTGCCCACACCCAGCATTGCACACTTCAGTCTTAAGTATTGACTATCTCGATCCGTGATTATAAACCACAATTCAATATTGTTGAAGAGCCTAGGGTGACACAAACCGGAAACCTCTTTCAAAAACCACACTGCGGCTGAACGCAGGGTCCCTCCAGCTCTACGGCTTGACCTGAGAACCCAGACGTCATGATGGCCTTGTTTCCACGGGAGGAGGATCTCTGCATTTCCATCCAGGGACTTAAACCTAGGCTGGAGAATCAACCAACGAACTGTGGTGGGCTCTTTGGAGATGGGTCCATTAGATGCAAGCTGAGTTTCAAAGGGATTTTCCTCTGTTCTGTTGACTGGCTGTAACCAAATGCCAGTGGTGCCCTCAGAACAGGAAGGCCAGGCTGTGAGCTCCGTGTGGAAATGTTCATACTGGTGTTGCTTGTCATTACTTGTCCAGTGCCAAGGCCAAAGTTGACACCCAGTAAATAGTAGTTGATTGAATGAATGATCACAGAGAATTTTCAACTTCATCTGTTCTAGTTTGGTAATTACTATTTGGAGTGCAGCTCATCTGTGAATGGTTAAACAGAGGTTTCGGAGCTCTGCTCAGTTTCTTTTTTTTATTTTTTTTTAATCCTCATCCGAGGACATTTTTCCATTTTTTGTACAGACAGAGTAGGAGGGAGAGAGAGGAAGAGACAGAGAGGGAAACATCGATGTGAAAGGAACACATCGAGTGGCTGCCACCCGCACGACCAACCAGGGCCGGGGACAAACTGCAACCGAGGTACGTGCCCTTAGCGGGAACCGAACCTGGGTCTTTACGGACCGCAGGCGGACGCTCTAACCGCTGAGCCAAACCGGCCAGGGCTCTGCTCAGTTTCTAAAGGGGTGAAAGCCTTTCCGCCTTTTGATTTCATTCATTCCAGACCAGTAGGACCACACACAGGAGGTCATTTTGTCCAGGTTTTGTCTCACATTTTCACATACTACTTTAAATGATCACTGTTAAGTTTGGAGGGTTCCCTCCATTTTGCACATGGACATCTTCCATTTCTACTTCTCCGAACGTGCAGCCTTGGAATATAGGTCTTTGTACATATTCAGCAGAAGTGACAAGTGGTGGCTCCCATCTTCATGTTTACCTAGGACTCATCTTTCATTGTCACTTAATATAGTTTAACCTTCTTGTTGCTAATGACCAGGAGACGACCAGCCCTGTTTCAATAATGCTGTCAAGAGGTAGAATTTACCCCACTGCATTTTTCCACCCTCATTTCTATGTTTTTACCACCCTATTGCTTTTGGGTCAAATATCCAGTTATCATCATTGCAGAAGCCCCAGATACAGCCCTTCTGTTAGTGCTTGGCAGTCTGTATTGGGATCATTCATATGTGTGCTTACTATGGATGCGTGAAATGTATAACACGTATCTGAATCTATGTCTGCATGGATATCTCCACATGTAAAAGCATAATTTTATCCCTTTTCTTTTAAGGCTACCACTGACTTATTTTAATTTTAATTTCCACTGAAATAGGGCAGAAAGACTTTTCCAGAGCAGCTTTATTGCCAAAGAACAGGAAAACAGGCCCTCGAATGGTCTCATTTGTGTTTAGCTCTCAGATTACTTCCTGGCTCTCTTTCCTCACTGAAGAGGTTGAAAAGCCCACGAAGGGGAAGCATCTGGGGGCGCAGGGCTGCTGTGTCTTCCAAGAGGGTCCACGTCTGGAGCCCTGCCTGATGGTGGTGGTGGTGTGCAGGGCTGGAGAGCACGTAAGGGAGCCAGGCCCTCATCCCAGTGGTAAGAGTAGTTCTGGCCATCAGCTCTGAGGTCCTTGCGTGTCGTGATGGAAGTCCGCATGTGACATTTGTTCCTAGTACTGAGGCATCCTTTGTCCTCCCAGGGTAAACATCTAAGGGACCCTAGAGATCCTTCAGGAGGCACTGGAGCAGGAAGGCTTTCTCTCCTTTCATGTACAGCCTCCGTGTTTCCTCCACGTCCATTCCTGCTGCGTGAGCTGTGGATGTTTCCAGCCAGTAACTGGACAACCGCACTGCCCGAGAATGCAGACCCGGGTTTGCTCACGTCCA